AATGCTAATTCTCATACCCAGACTGATCTCCAATCCTGGCTTGCCCAAAGCTGGCCAGTTTTAACTGTTTGGGCCTATAGTGATATAAGTGAGAGCTGTCCCTTGGGTGTTTGAACGGAGAAGTCTTCCTAATTTGACTGGTCATACCTCTGCCTGAAATCCATCCGAGGTGACCAGCTGAGTGACCGTCATCTCATTGGCCGTCAAAGTACCCGTCTTGTCTGAACAGATGACGTTGCAGCATCCTGACACAAGGAAAGTTTCCATCAGAACGAACCACATGTGCAAGGGGACAACTAGAAATGCTGCAACATGTGCTTGTGTCACAAACCCCAGCCAGTATTGGGCAAAGGACCCCTGGGAGTCAAAGAACAATGTACAAAAAGTTGGGGGAGCTTTCTAGAGAAAAATTCACTCCAAATATAACCGTGCCTCTTTAGTGATTGCATAGCACATTGTGCTACCATGGGTAGGATTTGGGGCCAGCCTCTGGCAGGTGAGAGCTGATGAAAGATTTAATCAGTCACAGGGTAGATAGTTCAGAGGAGGCAATGAATCCTGAGAAACCAAATGATGTCTCTGAGCAAGATCACACTCCAGTGAAACTGGGAGGAAAGACGGGGTTTCGTTTTTTAAAGCCCTCTTCCACCGCAGGTGTCCTCCATGACCCGAGGCAAATCAGTCACTTAACCTTTCCATGCCTTTCATTTCCCCACCTACAAAATGAGGAGAAAAGCACTTCTCTTCCTCACTGGAGTGATAGAAAGATAGGCACATTAATGACTGCAAAACTTTCTGATACCTCAGCAGCAGGTCCCAGATAAGCACCTCAAGCAGAGTTATGGGATGCTGAGAGAGGCAATCCCACATCCAAACAGTTGGAAATCATAAAAAGTTGCATTCAACCATGTAGAAGTATTTTGGGTCCTGCTTCTCATATACATTAGGTCCCTTACCACCACTCTACCAGTTTAAATTCAATGTAAAGTAGGAGCTAACTGAGTTAAATCGATGCCCCAATAAGGCCAGTTTACACCACCAGAGAGGGGTAAAGGGGCATTGGCATAAAGAAAAATTCAGCCCTCTAATTTTAATCTCTTAAATTGCTAAATCTGTTCCACTGCTTTGGAGTTGGTGAAATGGGCTGAATATAGCTGAATTACAGGCCAATCTACTTTATTCCATGGGTTTCAAGTCCAGCATTCATCATCCTCCCAGCACCTAACTGCAGTTTTGGAGGAGTGGCCCAGAGTGAAATCACTTCCTTTATTTAGCGGGAGGTTTGATATTTTTAGAATTAAAAAAAAAAAAGGGCTGGATAAAGATGGCAACATCTGTTGCTCCCCAGATTTTGAATGTAGTTAAGCCTAGACGAGCCCTGCTTGCTGTCACCCTTGGGCATCACTGCTGAGGTCCCAGTTATGGGCTAGCACAGGACATTCAGAACTAGAATTCATTTGATTTTGTGTCTGGATAAAGCAGGATGTCATGTAGAAAATGGTGCTAGGACTCCCTTGCTGCTTAGCAAGCCAGATCTCTGACAAGGGCAAAACTCCCAGGGAACAGATCCAAGGATGCAGTCATTCTGGGATAGTATGATATGATGTGATATTCTGAGATAGTATGATATATGATATGATATATCATACCATATCATATATCACATATCATATAATATATCATATTATATATATGATATATGATATGTGATAGATGATATATGATATATCGTATGTCATGTCATATATGATATGATATATGAGACGATATTCTGGTATAGTATAGTATCTGGTAGGGGGAGGTATTTGGAAGATAAAAGGAGCCAGAAGAATAGCAGCAAACTTGCAGTTGAGTCAGTCATGCCCATTGATCAGCTGCAGAGAGCTGCTTTCCAAGTGAGGTGCCAAACAGGAATAGCCTCTGGAGCAAAAAAAGTTTGGGGAGGAAGCGAAGGAACAGATCTAGGGGTATAAGCAGGCCTAAAAAAGAAAGGAGAGCTGGCTCCATGAATGTCAAGGACTGCAAGAGTGAAGGGAAACTTCAAACTGGTCCTGAGGGCTGCTTTAGTGCTGGGACATTACAGGGAGGAGTGAGAAATGTCAGTGGGAGTGGAGATGAGGTGTGAGATTATTCAAAGGAATTTGGACTATTTATTGGCTCTCTCATTCAAGTCACAGGCTTGCAGTCAGCTGGTGCCAGGTGCCCTAAGCAAGCAGGTAGCCACACATGCAGTCACTGCTTTGACCGTATGCAGGGGACAGGCAGATGCCTTACCCAACGTCTCCACTATGGGCAGCTTCTTCACAATCACTCTTTTCTTGGCCATCCTCAAAACGCCGAGGACCAGCGTCACCGTGACCACTATCGGGAGGCCCTCCGGGATGGCAGCCACAGCCAGGCTGGGTTTCAGTAAAGAGAGACAAGACTTTCCATTACAGTGTGTTCAACCCGCCCTGTGCTGCACCTGCCACCTAACTGCATGTTGCAAATCAATGTTTCTGCACCGCACAAGATGGGAATGTTGCCTCAAAAGATAAGATCTGGACTGGAAATAGACTGAACTTGGGTTTCCCACATGTTAAGGACTCCTATTTTGGCCATTCTCTCTCTTACCAGAAAGTTGGCTATTCTGGTCTCTTGCTCCTTCTCACACAAACCCTAGATCTGAGAAACATTTCAGTGAATCAGCATTTTCCAACTGAAACGGTTTCATCACACATTTTTGTCTAACAACTAAGCAGCATCTTGCACCCCAACAGCAACTTCACCGCTCAGCGCCTAGGAAATCCAGGGTTGCAACCCATTCAAACGTGCCGTTCAAAACTAGAGACCACTCTTAAAATCCTGACATAAATTCTTTTCTTCCTTGTCACCACTGACCTCACTTTGTGGTGAACCTGGAACCAAACTAGTTTCTCTTCTTTTCTGTTTAAACACAAAATACTAGAAAAAATAATGATCTTGGGGCCATGGTAACACTTAACATACTTTTCCCAAGTCTTATCCAAACAGATGGCTCTCTGTATTTATTTAAGGGGCTGTGCACGCACTTTCATGTCACATAAAAATCTAACTTTCCTTGCTTTATAGACAACTTCATCAGATAAGACCAACAAGGCTAATATTTGCAGATGTAACACTCCCTCTTACTTTATAGCATAGGTATGGTAGGACATGTATGATGGGAAATAGGAATGTAGGCGGGGAAGCCTGAGTTTAAACATGCCTTGCTGAAGGAGCACATTCACAATGCAATTCTGATGCCAATGAAATAATGCACTGGTAAAATAAAACCAGAAATAAAACTTCAAACCTGCTTTTATTTCCTTCATTTGTCATGGAAGAAATAGATCATTCTTTCATCCTTGCTCTGAAATCTACTGAAGTGAATTTATCATAGAGAGGTACGGCTGGAAGGGACCTCAAGAGGACATCTAGTCCAAGTGGTAAAACTCCTACTAATTTCGTAGACTCAGGATCGACATCTATACTGAAAAGCTTACACGAGTAACAAAATCTGTTCTGGACAAAGAAAAACTGCCCTCTGTTGTCTCCGTGTCAGTCACTTGAACGAGAAACGTTGTTGAGAGAGATTTCATTGCACGTAAGAAAGCAAAGAGTCTTTTCAATCCTCACCTAACTCCAATAGTAAACATGCTGAGCAGATGTTTTCCTTGCAACCAGCCAATGAGCATTATTAAACCTAAAATGGAGAAAAAACTATATCAATCGAACTTCTTAGGGAATACCGTCTTCTTCTTCTCCAGCTACCTTTGCATCTGAGTGCCCACCTTCTGACTACTCTGGCCCCGGAGACAGCCAGACATCCGTAACCAAATGCAGAGGAGACTTCTCCTGAACTCACCGATTATGCCAAAGGAGAAGAGGGTAAGCTGTTTTCCCAGTTGATCCATGCTTTTCTGCAGAGGAGTTTTAGGTGTCTGGAAACATGAATGAAAATAATGCCTGTTACATAAAACGCGATGTGTGTCTAGAATTAAGGACAAAATGAATATGCCAGTCATCACTCCTCCAGCGCCCGGTAAGCCCAAACTGAGATCAGACGTGGATCAAGCATTGTTGCGACACACACACATAGCCCCTACCTTCAAGAGCCTAAGTCTAAATGGACAAGACAGGCCAGAAAGTTAAATGCTTCGAAGTGGGAGACGACAGCTGCATGCACACATACATTTCATATTATACAGTCCCTGGATAAAATGCAGAAGCCGTGTTAACTGGAAGCTGGTACCCCCTCCAGTTAAATTCCCCATCAGCTAGGCTGCGCAGGCAGTGAATGGCCCGGTGAATCCTGGTTTCTCTTCTGTACCATGGCACAGCTTCAAGAGAAGAGGATGGAGAGGGCACCCCCAGAACAGCCCAAACCCAGGTCAGACAGTAGTAGAGACTAAAACCAGCTCTCCCTCATGCTGTGCAAGTGCTCTAGTCATTACACTGCTATATCACTGCAAACCCTGCTCCTTTACTGCAAAACTGGTGGCTCCGTTTTGTGGGAAGCCCCTTTCTCTAGGTCCAGTTTAGCTGTATTCTGAGAAGGCTACTAGACTGACGCCCTCGGGATGGAGAGCACCTAGTTTCTCGGGGCTTAGGACGAGACAGGTGCTGAACTGCTCAGCCCTGCAGTGCTTCTGCTCACGTGCAGAAACAAAATTCGACATTCCTGGTGGACCTCAACGTCGAAGATGGAAGTTGGGTGCTACCTTTGGAGCTATTGAGCAGAGGGTTTCAGCGCCTGTGGTCTGTGGCAGAAATGGGAACTGAACCCAAGTCTCTCAGGTCCGGCTCATTAACTTCATCCCAGAAATCACAGTGGACTCCACTATTTTAATAAAAGCATGCAGACTCTGATGCCACAGAGCCCCCGCATGATAGCTACCACCCTCTTCCAACAAAACCGAGTTCATTTCCCTTACCTCCTCTGCTTGCATCATTTTAAACACTTCTCCAAACTGCGAGTTCTTGCCAGTTCCGATAACCACTCCCTGAATTAGGGCGAGAAAGAGAAGTCACGCCTGTTGTCAACTTGACTTAAGACATGTTGTGGTGACATAGCGATGGAGCGCATAGAGGACTCACTTTTCCCGTCCCATACCGCACCAGGGTTCCCATGAAAACAACATTACTTAGTGTCGTTATGTCCCCAGCTTCCACTAAGGTACCGTCAGTCTTGCTACAAGGCTCAGCTTCTCCAGTAAAACTGGATTCATCCACCAACAGGTCTGTAACCTAATTAAAAACATAAGTGTTCACGGCTTTTCACCCAGCATTGACTAGCGCACGTTATCACTGATGCATGAGCTGAAGCTTACCTCTATCAGTCTGAGATCTGCGGGAACCCTGTCTCCAACAGAAAGACACACGATATCTCCTGGGACAAGTTCCCGTGCAAGAAGATGGTGCAGTTTCCCTTCCCTTATGCTGCGTTACATTGAAAATGAATGTAAATAGCATTAGTTGTAGCAGCCCCACAGTTTGCTAGGGCAAGAGGAGAAGAACTTCTCCCCTGTCCTAAAAAATGAACGTGCTAAGGAGAGGCAATTATGTTCCTACTCTGAATACACTCTCAATCGATAAACAGAAGGCTGGATTTGGAAACTTGGGATTTCAATAGTATGTTCATTTAACCCAAATGTCTACAACTAGAGAATTATCCCTGCTATTTGAACTCAAAGACTGCTTACATGCAGCTTCAATATCCTGTAAGACTCAGCAGACTGTTGAAAGGTAGAATTATGGTTGATTTTTTTAAATGTTTTTTGGTATTGTTGTCCTACATGTTTGACCTTCAAAAGATTTGGGGCCTCTTAAATGCAATCCACTGAAAGAAACAGGTAAAGGTGATGAGAGTATTTGCAAGGTGCAAAGTTGCATGACCTTTAATGTAGAAAAAGCTGCACCTCTTTTTTGATACAATGGGTATAACTTCACCAGGAACCGCTTATTTACCTTGGCTATGTGAGACCTGGTTTTCAGAGATAACAATAGTGGAATGGGCTTGTAAACTGGAGAGCACTCAGGCAAGTCAGATTTGATGAACCGGACACCGTTGTAGACTTCAGTGCAATGTAGACTTGTGGTACATACAGAAATACTTTTCAAAATTTAGCATGTGCAATTGCATGCATGCATTAACATGGAGCTAATTTATTCCCAAGTGCCTATCTAGGCATGTACATTGGGTATTTGTATATTGGTGTTAATTTGCATATGCATATGTTTATGTGTATACAGAAATCTCAGTTTCTAAAAAAACCCATTAGGCTCAGTCTCACAATGCAAAGCTATAATAAAGCCAGAAGATATGCTTAATCTGGGATTCTCCTGCCTTGGAGAATCTACGGTAGAGTAAAGGGCATATC